GGCAGGTCTAGTTCAAAGTGGACCACATAGCTCTGTATCCCAAAGGCAAAACTAATTGTTTCAGAATAACTGGGCCAAATATGAACTGTTCCGAAACTTCTTCATAAAACTATCTATAGAATATTTGTTATGGTCCAGGCATCTTATTGCTGTAAAATCCATTTTAATGGAACATATGGAACATTTAATTTAATCCTCTTGTTTCTCACAATTCCCAGGACCATCTGCATTTACATGAAATGTCTATTAACTCTACCATGGATCACCCTCCTAAGTGAGTACATTCAAGTCATCTCATTATTCACTAAGTTTAGTCCCTGAAGACTGTGCAGAGGAGAAAATTAGCAAACTGGAAAGAGTCCTGGACTCTGTGATTGGTGAGCTGCAGAAGACAGGAGATTTGTACACCCAGTCCTAGAGTGGTAGGATGTTTGGTCTGTTAATTAGGAGCTGGAAAAATGACAAATGGAGATACCAAATGGAGATTCTCCAGCCCATTTGTAAAGGCATATAGAAGGAGATCCTTAATTAGTATAATTCAGATGTTTCTTTTGTGTATCCTCTTCTTTTTCCATTTACCTAATTTCATGTCCTACTGATAATCTCCAATTTCTATAATTTTACTTGGTCTTTAAAGCATTGCTTTTGGTGTCAGACCAAACCAGGTCCAAATCCTGGCTTCACTACCTGTTACAGCAGTGTTGTTCATAGCAGTTATTTGACAAATACTTAACTTCTTTACACCTCAGTTCTTTACCTGACAATAACAGTGCCTACCTTTAAGAGTTTTTGTAAGGATAAATGAAATAAAGCATGTGGACAACTGAATTAAATCAAGAGTAGTCACTAGTAATTGTATTGGCATAGAGCCCAGCATATGGCAGATAGTAGGTATTCAGTAAGCATATGTAGAATCAATAAATGATGCTTACTTTCGTGCTGCAAAGTGATAGTAAGTCTAACCCTGGCCTTGAAGTCTTCAAGGAAAATGCACAGTGAAGTAGTGTTATTTGTCAAACGTGTCCTCTGACAATCAGAGTTAAACGTGAGCACTTCCTTGATTTATGTATAGGATCTGAAGACCGGTTCCCAGGGTTTTGTTCCTGCCTACCAGTTGGTAATTGTGTGACATGTGAGTGAGCAACTTACTTAACGTTTCTGTGCTTTAGTTTCCTTATCTGTAAAGCCAGGATGGCAGAGGCATTTATTGTTTAGATTTAGAGAGGTGTGAATTTTCAGTGAGGCAGTTTAGGTAAAGCACTTAGCACAGGGCCTGCAATCCCTTAAGTGCTCAGTAAATGTTAGCTGTTATTCTCTGGCAGTGTTTGGAAGACCTACAATTGCTTATACTCAATTCACTTGGGGGATTTTTGGATGTTGTAAAGCTAACTCTTCTAGTTTCTAATTAGGAAAGAAGATAAAGCAGACCTCTTGGCAATTTCCTGCCTAGGAAACCTTGTGTTTTATGAACCACGGAAAGAACCCCAGATTTCTTTTCAGCCCTACCCCCAGCAAACTGACGAACTCGGGTCTTTCCCCGCCCACTCACTGTACATCTCCCACGGGACTTTAAAAACCAAGCAAGTGTTAGTGCTTTGTGCTTAGCTGTGTTACTAGTGCTCTATTTCTTACAGTTTCAACAAACTCAGCTTTATGCCAGTTTTATCTACCAGGGTGTCAGCCTTGCTGTAAGACCAGAGTTTATCTGATTCCATGGATTTTACAAAGTCAGAAGTGGGAGAGAGGAGAATTTCAACCAAGGAGACTTACAGAGTAGGAGTGGCATTGAATGGCTTCTGCTGTAAACTGTAGACAGAAATCCAAACCCCCAAGCCCCAAACACCCCAACGGCCCATTCAGCTGTATGCATTTTAAACACAACCACGCATTTGAGAAAATGCACCATCAGAACCGACATAGAACCGACATGACCTCTCTTTTGGCACCAAATTTGTGGCAGTGGAACTGGATGTGGCAATAAATAATGGGCCAGGATGACTTGCAGAGCTCTGAGCTTGCTCTGAATTGATACATTATCAACCAACAGGCAAAGGAGAACTTTGAAAAAGGACATTGTGATCAAATCAACTCCTACACAAAGAGCATGCCACAATGGGGTAGAAGGTAGGGGAGAACAAAAGTCACTGGTGGGAAGCGAGTGAGAATGAGCCAAATTAACACCTCCTCTTAGAGAACTGTGGCCAGTTGGGGCTCCTGGCCATGGTCCTCATGCAGAGATCAGAGACTTCCAATGCAGAAGATTTTAAGTTTGTTTTGTGTTAGCCAAATCTACAAAGAAAAACCCAGATTATGTGCTGCAAGTTATATTTAAACAGGTGTTAACTGATCTCTTCATGCAAAATATCTTCTTTAGTTGCTATGGGGCAAATCAACTCCTTCAGGTATGTATTGCAATCATGGTCCAGAAACTGTGCTAGGTGATCGGGTTATAAAGATGAATAAGCTACACCCTCACTTCAAGGAGTTGATAATCTGGGGAACAAGAAAGGGAGAGTAATGACAGGTACTTGGCAGATTAGCAAAGGCAGCGTGGTGGTGATGGTGGTGGATGTCATGGTGGTAGTTCAGATGGGTTTGGGGATCAGGCAGACCTGGCTACCCAACTTTGCCACTGTTTGACTGAATTGTTCTTCCTAACTTGCGTAGGTAAAGAATAAGATATTTGCAGAAACTACTGATTATTAGTTGTTCAACTAATGACTGATAAAAGTTATATAAGGCAGTTATATATATGCCTCAGTTTCCTTATCTGTAAAATTTGAATGATAGTAATAAACCAATCACCTAGGCTACACAAATTAAATGGATCAATGCATGTAAATATTTAGAATGGCCCTGCATATAGTAAGCCCTGTGTAAGTGCTTGCTATTTATTATTAACTGCCATGGCATTGATATGCTCTGTAACGGTGCAATTAAAAATGCTGTAGACTACTACCCATTTATAGATAGAGACTAGATAAATGGATGATTGATAGACACACGTGTAAAAAAGATATTAATAATATTTTGCTAAGTGGGAAATAAAGTATGTTGCCTACTTTCCAGATAATGACAGGTAGTGTGAGAGTCATGTAGATCTGTGTGTTGTGGATTAGAGCCAGTGTCAGATCCACCATGCACACACTCAAAGCTGAGTCCCTGGAATAGAATGACATTCAGCTGGGATTGGTCCTATTTTTCTGACTCTTCCTGTGCGTCCCACAGACCTCAGGGCTGTAATGAGGTACTGGCATGTGCTGCAGGTAGGGCTGACCAGCCTAGGGCTCCCAACACTTATTTCAGTCCTGTGTAGCTGAAATGCCTTCTGACGTTGGAAGGCTAAACTAGACAACAATGACTGGAAAATGTCTCCCAATATCCAGACATGTATCTGCAGAGAAAACTCTGACAGGGAGAAAAGCAGCTTCCGTCCTCTTTCCACCTCCTGTCTGTCCCTTCCTAAGCCTTTGGCTTTAATTTCTGGCCAACTTCAGCAATGCTGACAAGACAAAGAGAAGTCTTTGCACTGTTTAGTCTGCTTTTAATTATTTCAGTATGAAGACTTTCCCTGAGCAGCGGACAACAAACTTGCCATTCATAATTTTCTCCTCACTCTTCCTTCTGGGTGTTGGGTGTGAAGTGAGACGGGGCCAGGTGCAGCCAGACTTCCTGGGAGGTGCCAGTTTCCCCTGAATGTATGATCCACCCAGAGAAAGCCCCTGTGGGGAACCCCACAGACCCTCCCGTGATTGTGCCTCTGAGTTCACTGCAGGTGTCCTGCTCCTGGGCTGCTCTTGGCTTCCCTGGGGCAGTGGTCCTAGCTTCTTTCTTCTGGAAGATGGCCGTCCAGACCTTCCCCTTCCTTGGTGTAAAGGAAAGGCTCTGGGGCCACACCTTGGATTCAGATACCACCTACCTGCCACGTAGCTTTGGGCAAATTATTTAACAATGCTGATCCACCATTTCCTTCCATTTCAGAGATGGGAGTTATGGAATAAGACAGAGAAAGACAAATACTGTGTGATATTGCTTACATGTGAAATCTAAGAAAAAATGAATTCATTGATACAGAGAACAAACTGGTGGTTACCAAAGGTGGCAGGGTGCAGGGCAAAATGGGTGAAGGTGGACAAAAGGTACAAACTTCCAGTTATAAGTCCTGGGATGTAATGTACAGCATGATGACTAGTTAATACTGTGTTGCATATTTGAAAGTTGCCAAGAGAGTGAATCTTAATTCTCATCATGAGAAAAAAATATAACTATGTGAGGTGATGGATGTTAACTAGACTTACTGTAATCACTTCACAATATATACAAATATCAGATCATTCTGTTTTACACCTAACACTAATACAATGTGATGTCAGTTATATCTCAATAAAAAAAAAAGATGGGAGTAATAAATTATCTAACTGATAATGTCAAAAAAGCCCTAAGGAGGGAATAATTAGGCCCTTATGGAAGATATGAAGAATCAAATGAGATAACAAAAGTTACTTAACAAAAAGCACTTAACATTTGAAATACAGTAATAATTGGATATCATTTACACATTTCCCTAATTTCCCATTCTCTTTGGCTACACCAAGTACATGCATTAGATCCTCTCTGTTTCAAAGGTTTTACTCTTAATAAAGATCGTCAAATCGACAAAGGACTGCATTTCTGCATAATAACCATGGGGACTCATGCAGCTTAACAGAGGGCATCACATTCTTGGCTCCCTTGTGGGGGGCGGAGTTCGACTTGCAGGGGACCTGGCTCTCAGACTTCACATCCTCTCCTCAGCCAACAGACCTGAAGACCAGTAGGTGTTGATTGCCACAGTCCTTTCAGGTGTCCTCATTTCAATACAGTTTTCTTAGCTCACTATGATCAATTTATAGATACTACTGCATGTTAACCTTTCAACAACTGCGTTAGGTTACATCACTCCCATTTACTAGTTAGAAAAATGAGTCTGAGAGAGGTTACATGCTACCTTAGATCACAGAACTACATCATTCTGGAGCCATAATACAAACCGAGGTACCTGTGGCTCCAAAACCATGCACTTGACTCTCTCCCTAGGGCGCCTGATGGCAGAAGCAACAGCTGCAAAGCTCTTTAGGGGCTTGTTTTCCAAGGGGAGGAGGGTCCAGAGCTCCGACGTCTCATGAACCTTCTGGCTTCAAGCCCTGAGCAACTTAATGATACATCATTAGCATTTGGCAGTCATAAATACCAGTCAAAATTAGACCCTTGGAAACTCTCAGACCAATCACGTAAAGTTATCTAGTACTGGAGAAAAGCCCCTTCCGTGGAGAAAGCAGTGCCGGTCTCTTTAAGCCTGATAAGACTGGTCAGGGACTCACACCACAAGGGAACGGGACGGCCTGTCTGCTTGCTGAGCACCGTGCGGCGAAAGCTGAGAGCTCTAGAAGGTGCCAAGGCAGCGTGCAGGTGAGCGGCAGAGTGGGAACACTGCGTAAACTTTTCACCAATGCATACGTAATTTCCCTGATTTCGTGTTTCCCATACTTTTCAAGAGGGAAGTACGTGACTTTCTAAGTCTTTGTTTCCCGTCCAGCACAGAGCGGCAGTACTGAAACCATTCAGCAATGGGGGCTTGGCAGCTTCTAAAGGTGTCACTGGGGAGTGCAGTTTGAATTGAAGTGATTGCGGACATCTAGGGGGTCAGCAGGGCCACGGGGGAATCCACAGTTTCTGGAGTGGGAGGGGAGTAGGCATGCAGAGAGGAAACCAAATGGGGAACAGGAAGATCATGCAGAGCTCACTGGAGGAGAAGCAGCAGAGCTGCCCTTTGTGCCTGAGATGTTTGTAGAAAGGCAGTGGTGGGCGACTACCACACACCGATGGCCTGTTGTGTATCTGGCACTTTGCTGCACGCTTTATAGAGGCCCTGGGGTACAGTGCCATTGGAAAGACCTCATTTATCCCAACTCTTGAACCAACTATCTGCATGAACTTGGGAAAATCACTCAATCTCTTTGGATGTTTATTTCATCTATGAAATAGAAGTAATAGCATCTCTCTATCTATATTAATTGAGCCCATCAATATTAAGTGAAGACATGCTGTGTGCTAAACATTATTTGAAAGGCTAGATATAGATGGTTAAATCAGTATCTTATAAATAAGTTCTGGGGACGTAATGTATAGCATGGTGACTGTTAACAATACTGTGCTGTCTATTTGAAAATAGCTAAGAGAGTCAATCTTAGAAGTTCTCACCACAAGAAAGAAATGTGTAACTATATATAGTGATGGATGTTAACTAAATTTATCATGGTAATCACTGTGCAGTATATACTTATCACCTTAAACTTGTATAATGTTGCATTTCAATTATATCTCAATAATGCTACAAAATCATCTTTAAAAATCAGTGTGTATTTTTGTGCAACTTACAGTCCATGGATATAGGCAAGTGTGATAAATTATATAAAATGCTTGGGATTTGGCAGTCATTATTTCATTTAATCCTCATAGCAACCCCAGCATGCTCTTACCACATCAACATTACTTGTTGTTGCCAAATGTTGAAAATAAATCTAGGCAGATTGAGACTGAGAAAAAAATTACTGACTACTATATTGATTGCAAAAGTTAAATGGCCATAATTAGCTGATGGTTCCATATAATGTAAGTTTGAGAATGTGGTGCATTTCATATTCAAAAATAGACCTTGTCTTCATTGATTAGTGCCTTCTGTCACTGTTTGTGGTCCATCATTGTATTCTTAGCATCTGGCCCAGTGTCTGGCACATATTAGGTGATTGATACATCATTGTTGAATAAGTTACATTTATTACATTGCATTTTTACCAGACATCACTTATTCTGAAAGTTGCATTGTATCTGATCTTTATTCTTAGAAATCATATTAGGGTTTCTGGATGAAAACATCAAAATTCTGGCCCAGTAAGCTTTAGAAAGCTGGGCCAATAGACATAGAGGTAGGGAAGAGTGGTGGAAACAGTCTTACATGAAGAGTGTCTCCACATATCCAAAATAAACCCTCTACCTCTGCTCTGAACCCATCTCTTCTTCAAGATCTTGCTCATAATGATGGGTGTTCCCTAAGATTCTGCCCTTGGATTTCTGTTGTACCAGAAAATGCATGGATTTTAGAATCTTTAAACCACAGTCCTAGAGCTTACTTGCTGGGTAAATACTGTGAAGTCACCTAATCTTAAACCTCTCAGTTTCTTCTTATGTAAAATTGAGACAATGTCAACTTCCCAGTCACAAGGATTAAATAAAATGATGTCCCTGGGAGCACCTACAATGCTGAATGAAGGGATGGGAAACTGTGAACAGGGATAGGCACATTGCACAGAAAAGCTAGGTAAATAAGAAGTATGGGCTGTTATTGGTGTCCCACCTACATCCCTTGACATTCAGCTTTCTGTGCATGCTGACTGGTTCTAACCGTGTGCCTGGGGCACGCTGCCTTCAGCTTTTAGCTAGGTGTAGGAGCTTGCCTTGCTCTGCGTCAGGGATAGAATGAAAACACCAGTGGTTAACACCTCTGGGTGAGCTAATGGCAGATGGGAGGCAGTGGGTCAACACCTGAGTGCCGTCTCCTCTCAGATGGGAAACCTGTGAGGTCTGATTGACACTCTCCCAGAGGCCCCCGGTGAGACTGAGGCTCAATCCCCACAGTAATAACCTGGTCATAGCACACGTGTTTCTGTTTCTCGTCTGCATTTGCCTTCCCAAGTTCTCCTGGGAACCCTGAGTCCTTGTCTCAGGATGTTTCTGGGGAAACCCATCCTAAAATAGTCAGATTGCTTTAAGCCAGAGGGATAACTGTGTGTGTAACTGTGAGGTCACTGGGTGGAGGAATTGAGGGAAGCAAATAAAGGCTTATGAGGGTAGAAGTAACCTAATGGTAAATTCTCTGTGCTGGTGTGCTGGGGAGTCACCAAGAGGCTGGAAGGAAAGTGGAGGAGCAGGACCCGTGGTGCAGCAACAGCTGGGTGGCCCTGGGTGGGGGGCAGCCACAGCTTCAGTTCTGCATTTCCCTCCAGAAAGCAGAATAACTTGGAAACACAAGACAAGAAAATGAGACAGAAGAATGAAAAATAGGAGCAATAAGAAGAGGAGGAAAATCTCCCATTATTATCTTCCAAGTTACCACCACTACCTACCATTACTTTACTCTTATTTCCAGGGGTTCTTAGAAAGTGAAGTCTAGGATGTGGGGGCACAAAAGGAGTCAATGATTCTAGCAAGCAAGACAGGAAGCAGTGGAGATGGACAGAACTAGTGAATGACATAGGATAGCTCGTGTGAAGCAGACAGATGCCAGAGAAGCTGGAGATGAACTTTCTCCAGGGCAGGGTAGAAGAGATAACAGACTGTGGCTGCAAATGGAATAATAAATCTCAAAAACAGACCTGTGCAGCAGACCCTGGGTATACTCCCTCTACTGACAAGGTGGGCTTCAAATACCACCCAATCCATGGCTGCCTTATGTAGAAGTGCCTCCTTGAGCCCTCATATCACTCACTCTGCTCTACCTTCCGACACAGTGCTTATCACCCTCTGATGTGCTCCGTTTTACATGTTCGTTTGATTATGATGTGTTCTCACCTCCAGAAAATAAGTGTTATGAAGACCAGAACTTTTGACAGCATCTGTTGTAGTATTCAGCACTTATTAAGTGCTCAGAAGCATTTGTGAGTGAGTGAATGAAAAAATGAATAAGGAATATTAACAGGAAAGTTCTCCTTTTCTCCCAGCTCAATTCATTTTGGCTACTGTTCTTTGAGATACACATTTGGTGTTTTGCTCATCTATAGAACTGAAACTGAGAAGAATTACATCAGCAAGTGCTTTGTTTTAATAATCCATATTTATAGCTTGATGCATCCTTAGCAGTGATGTAATATCTCACTTAATACATGAGGAGAGAATCAAAGAGGAGTGACTTGGCTGGGGCTGCACAGGGCCAAAGTTTTGGTCCCCTAATTCTGAGCTCAGAGCATTTTCTGCTATGTGCCATAGTGAGTTCTACTCTTTTTATATTCTAGGAATAATTGAGGAAAAAATGACTAACATGGGCCATCTTCCCTTTTATTTGTGTTGAACTTAGAAAATGACATGGCTTTACATCGCTGGTCATATATAATTTTAGTATCATGAGTTATGCAGCTTCACAAATGAAAGGAACTAGTTTATGTCTGTTTTTTAGTAGCTTTCCCCCTTTTAACTCAAGAACTAACACAACCTCAACGTTTGTTATTTCGATTCCTTTAAGTACTGGTTCCAAAAAAGTTTTACCAATCATTATCTTTCACTATGTTCCCATCATCTATTAGAAGTATGACTTCCAATTAGGCAATGTTAGCTTCCTGGAAGGTTAAAAAATTTATCATTTTGGTAAATGAAAAGTAATTGCCTGATTCACTAACCAGGGAACAGATCAAATTTGTCTTTGAATTTTTAAAAGAAAATCTGAGAACGTCTTGTGCTGAAACCATTGTTGCCAACTAAATGGTTCCGTATATTAGATACTTCTGACTTAAAAGGAATTCCTATAGTATTTCTCCCTGTTCTTGTTGCTGTGAGGCTAATGATCAGAAAAGTGAGTCATTAGTTAGGCTTAACTTTTGGGTAGTTATATTATTTGTAAATAGATGGGATCAGAAGATCCCTTTCAAATATTGGAGAGCCTCGTAGCAAGTTTTTCCTGGAACAGATTTGCAATGATATTTGATGTAAAGGAGGAGAATGTAGGTCTAGAGAGGCTGAGGAACTTTCAGCTGTGTTAAGGCCGTTTACAGCATCAGACTTCACTGGAGATTCAATAGGTATTAAGTCTGTCCAAAGGGTGAGAGAAGATGCCCTCTCATTGCTAACCTGAAGAATGGCACCAAATCAAGCTTTTCATGCAGGGAGCATGCAACTAAATGACTAGTGAAGTGACTTCTCAGCTTTGTTCTGTCTTTTATAGACAGTCCTATTGTTACATACAACAGAATTCTGCAGGAAGTAGCAGTAACTCCACTCCTTTTTCTCCATCTCAAGAAAAAGTATACGAATGCAATTGAAAAAGAGTACAATATTATAGGATAATTTAGTTAATATTTTTCTGGATGATAAAGACAGAAAATCCTACTCAATCTGACTTAAGAAAAGGAATTTAATGAGTTGTGCAAGTAAAAATCCAGGGATAGCATGGACTTCAGGCACAGCTGGATGCAGGGGTCAGCATGTATCATTGTTAGGATGTGGTTTTTCTTCAACTCCCAGCTCTGCCTTCCTGACCGGTTTTAGTCTCCAGTTCCACATGGGAACAAATGACTGTCAAAGTTCCAGCCTCATGTTGTCTCAGGTTCAAGACTATTGAGAAAGCAACTCTGCCCCTGTCCCAAAGCCTTAGCAAAGATTTTATTGAAACTTAAAAGACTGTTATAGGCCATATGTCATCC